TTTTTTTTGCTGCTTGGGGCAGCAAAAACCCTGGAGCCGGCCCTGCCTATCGACTCTGGATTCAAACTAAAGCCTACAAAAAGCATGGGTGAGATGGAAGACTTGGAAGGGTAACGTTCTGCTGCCAACATGGGAGGGCAGACCCAGCCCTTCCTTGTGCCCGGCTTTCCTGGCCAGTTACCACCACGAGCTACAAACCCAAGCTGCAAAATCAAGCCACGGACTCAAGTTACGTTCAGGACTGGTAACTATCCAGCAGCTGCAGAACATCCGATGGATGTGTGTGTGTGTGTGGATGTGTGTGTGTGTGGATAGGTATTAGGTTTTAGTTATTGGTCATAAATCAAATTGTGTTATCATAATAAATGTGGCATCTTTGTCTTGCCCCCTGAAACGATCCTGTGTAGTTTTGTCTGCATAACAAGCGCACAGTGTGTGTGGTGTAAAGGGGACACCTGTCCCTGAGGGGACATCGCCATGTACTGACCGATCACCCTCCCCCCCATCATCTCTTATACCCGCCCTGGGGAACCCGCATGCAAATCCCTGCCCTGGGGGGTTCCTGTTAAATACAAACCCCTGGTTCTAGGAGCCTCAGTCTCTCCCCAGACACAGAACTGCCCAGTCCTGCCCGCTGGGGAGTTTCCCTCATTTTATGACAACGAGAATGAAATCTCTGTGGCTTTTCCTTTCTCTGTTCTCTGTCCCCACCTGTAAGTGTCTATGTGGGAGTGGGGGAATCCGGGACAGAGCCATAGGTTCATTCTGTGATTAATTAATTCCTTGCTCTGTTTTTCTTTTCCCAGGTGTCCTCTCTCAGGTGCAGCTGGTCCAGTCGGGCCCAGGAGCGGTGAAGCCCGGAGAGACCCTCACCCTGACCTGCGCTGTCTCTGGTGTATCCATCACTGAGAGCAACTACGTCTGGGATTGGGTCCGGCAGGGTCCCGGGAAAGGGCTGGAGTGGATGGGGTACGTGTACATGTATAGTGGTGGGGGTACAAACTATGCCTCGTCTCTCCAAGGCCGACTCACCATCTCTGGAGACACCGCCAAGAACCAGTTCTCCCTGCAGCTCCGCTCGCTGACAGCTGCAGACACCGCCACCTATTACTGTGCCAGACACACAGTGACACAGAGCAAAGCAGGGACTGCTACAAAAAGAAGAAGCTGGTTCTAAGCAGCCGAGTGAGGCCAGAGAAGCAGGGATAGCTGATCCCCTCAGAGATAAAGACACACACACAGTAGATTGACTATGAACAACCCGCATACTAATAGATATCGGTTAAAAATGCCTCCAGCTGCCACCCCGTTTCTCTGGACACCATTTACCTTTCCGCTGCCACAGGAAGCTTTGCAAACTTACTGGGAAATGTGTCAGTTGTGCACTCAGGGTCTGAATGAATGAATGCTTCTGACAGCGAGCTGGGAGGGGGCAAGAGACCGGGGGGGTGTTTATGTAAATACAGTTTGCTCCTGCTTTGCTTAGATTTGCTAGATATTCCGCGGATGGGGCGGTGTCTTGCTCATTGTAAGAAATGTGGCTGGTGCTGGGTCACAAATTATGTTCGTGCTGAATGTAGGGGTGGTGAAATATGGTTACCAATGTTTGTAATTACCGTGGGCATACAGAAAAGAAGGACTGCGCTGAATCTGTCCCAAAGGAGGGAGCCACCCTCAGTGAAAATAACCTTGGTAAAACAAGGACTCGAATGTCTGACCCCTGTGAAAGTAAGGGGTCAAGTGTGGCCAAGTGTCGGTAGTCTCTTGGTCTATCCAGGGCTGTGATCAAGTGTCTTGATGTTTTTGGTCTTTTGGCCTCGAGATGAAAACCTTCTCTTTGCTTTTGGGACCTTGAAGTGAAAAAATTCTCTAAGTTATTTCTATTTCCCCAGTCATGGGGAAATCAGTGGTGGTGAGATTGGGTTTCTGCCCAGAGCTGAAATCACTAAAGGACTCATGAGCAGGTAGCTGATGATAAGCGGCCAGCAGGGTGGCAGTGGAGTGGCGTGGCCAGCAGGGCAGTGGCAGAGAGCTGTGATAAGCGGCCAGCAGGGCGGCAGTGAAGAGGCGTGGCCAGGAGGGCAGTGGCAGAGAGCTGTGATAAGCGGCCAGCAGGGCGGCAGTGAAGAGGCGTGGCCAGCAGGGCAGTGGCAGAGAGGTGTGATAAGTGCCAGCAGGGCGGCAGTGGAGAGGCGTGGCCAGCAGGGCAGTGGCAG